CATGACTGATAGAATTTTGAGGATTAAGTGACTAAGACATTCAATAAATCTTAGCTGTTTTTGTTATTGTTCACCTATATTCTGAAAAATATTGTAGAAAGTACCTATTACCCTTTTAAAACACAGTGAACAGTCGATGAAGATAAAATATACCAGAATAGGTTTCAATTTAGGGGAAACAAAGAAAAATCGGTCTTGGAACCACATGCCCTTAGTAAGATTGCAACTTTGACAATGAGGTTTATTTTGTTTAATTAAAAATGCAGACGTGTGTGTGGGAGTAAGAACATTTAAATGAACTCATAGGCTTCCATTCTTAGATGTCTTTCAACCTCTCTCTCGTTCTCTCTCGGGCTCTTGTCTGAACCTGTCTTAGCAACAGTTACCCTCATGTTTATTCTGCTTTGCATTCTCAGTGTGTTTGTTTGTTTTTTCTATAATCTCAGTATATTGGGTCAGAGGGAAAACTCGGCGTGTAAGCTGACTGCCAGTATTTTGCATCTTTTTTGAGATTATTGACCATAGCCTCATAAATAGTATCACTAAACTTCTCTTTCAAAACAGGTGCCCAAACACACAAGTCATCACTGTATTAATTTCTGAATGTTATCATATTGGAGCCATTCCACACTTGAACAAAGCCAGATTGTTGACCACTGAGGAACTGTGTTCTCACAAGAGGCCTGTGATCTCTTACAGGTGTACATTCTATTTGTTGAGATGGCCTCTGATTATAAGGGGGGTTGTTGGAGGCATAGAAAACTGGAACGTCCTTCCTTGAGAGTTTGCCAGTTTGGTTCCCAGCCAACCCGATAACTGCTTGTAGTGACACTCATCCCTCTAGGACTTCCGATCCGATGCCAGCCCTCAGAGGACGGTGCCACTCAGCCTACTCACACTGTCCTGACCCAAGGGCACCCCTGTCCTGAATGCCCCAAAGTATCGGTAAAAATCGAATACCAATTCAAGGGACTTACAGCTAACGTTCCAATAAAACTCTGAGCGTAAAGCATGCTATTGTTACTATTTAAATTTTGTTTTACCATTTTAAACAAAAAAACAGGAAGGCAAATGTGTAGTTTTGTTACTCTGCCTTCCTCAATGTTTGGTCCATAAGTTGCTAAACCCAGCCTTAGGAATCTCAGCATATACAAGGACCCTTTTCTAGTGTTACCAAGGCTTCTTTGATCCTTCCAAAAAGCAAGACATATTTCCTTGTCTCCAACCCTGACCTTCTGAGCTTCACCTGCCTGATAACTACTTATTTGGATTATATAGCTTCCTCAAATATAGCATGTCAACATGTATTTTGTCATTTCAGATTCCTTTCTAGAATTATCTGTTTCTCTGATTAATACCACCATTCTTTCAAGCTACCAAACTCAAAGTTTTATTACTATAATTGAGTCTATTTTTTCTTCCTACATCTAGAATGTTACTAAAGTCTACTTCTCAATCAATAATATTTTCCTGCTTGATCATTTTGTTTCATTTCCTCTGGAACCCTCTTGTTCTCTTGCCATTTTACATTTGAACTACTGCAATATGCCAGTATCATGCTTGTAGTAACTTATAACACCATAATCTTCTGTTACTTCGCTCCCACTATAATAAAGACAGTAAAAAGTGTTGGTGAGGATGTGGGAATATTGGAACATTCATACATGGCTGATGGAAATGTAAAATAATACAGCCACTTTTCAAAAACAGTTTGACAGTTCCTCAAAAGGTTAAACATGGAGTTACAATATGACCCAGCAATTCTACTCCTCGAAATTCCACTCCCAAGAGAATTGAAAACATATGTTCACACAAAAACTTATAATAAATAATGAATTCTCATGTTCAAAACAGCATTATTCACAATAACTTAAAGGTGGAAGTAACCTAAGTGTCTATCGACAAATGAGTGTTTTTAAAAAATGTAATATATACCTATAATGGAATACTCGGGCACATCCCCAGTAGGGAGTGTGCAGGAGGCAGCTGATCGATGTTTCTCTCTCATCGATGTTTCTAGCTCTCTATCCCTCTCCCTTCCTCTCTGTAAAAAATTAATAAAATATATTTTTTTAAAAAAACAGCTTTATTCACAATAACTTAAAGGTGGAAGTAACCGAAGTGTCTATTGACAAATGAGTGTTTTTAAAAAAATGTAATATATACCTATAATGGAATACTATTCAGCCTTTAAAAAGGAAGGAGCTGCCCAGACAGTGTAGCTCAGTGGTTGAGCAGTGACCTATGAACCAAGAGGTCACGGTTCTATTCCTGGCCAGGGCACATGCAGGAGGAGGCTGATCAGTGATTCTCTCATCATCATTGATGTTTCTATTTCTCTCTCCTTCTCCCCCCTCTCTGAAATCAATAAAAATATATTTTTTTAAAAAGGAAGGAGCTCTTTCCATAAGCAGCCAGAGGTAACTTCTAAAAATGGTTTGCTATTTACTTGACCCAGAAAATCCCACAGAGTCATACAAGTCAAAAGGTTAAAATCTTCGTGAACACTTGTGAAACGGCCCAGGCCGTCAAGGGTATGCATATCCGAACAGCCACCGAGTTTCCGAAGGATGTCAGTGTACAGAAGTAAGGTATGCCATCCCTTCGACCAAACAGTGGGGTGGACATGTTGGGCACACAGTCGGTGGCCCAAAAAGTGCTCAATTTTTGCTGCACATGCTTAAAAATGCAGAGAGTCATGCTGAACTTAAGGGTTTAGATGTAGACTTTCTGGCCATTGAGCACATCCATGTGAACAAAACTCCTAAGATGTAGCTCAGAGTTTACAGAGCTCACAGGCGGATTAACCCACACATGAGCTCTCCCTGCCACACGGAGGATCCTTCCTGAAAAAGAGCAGATTGTCCCTAAGCCAGAATAGAAGATTACACAGACGAAAACGATATCCTAGAAGAAACTGAAGAAACAAAAATGTATGGCTCAGGAGTAATTCAGCATAAAATAAAAGATAAGAAGAAGAAAAAAGGAAGGAAATTATGATACCTGCTACAACATGAATATTGAAAACATTATGCTAAATAAAATAACCCGTCACATAAAGGACAAATATTGTAAGATTCTGCTTATATGATGTGTACATAGTAGAATCATGTTTGTTAGGGGCTTGGGGAAGGGGAAAATGGAAAGTTAGTGTTTAATGGGTACAGAGTTTCAGTTTGAGAAGATGAAAAAGTTCTAGAGATGGATGGTGAATATACTTAATACCATATAACTGTACACTTAAAATGTGGTTAAGATGGTAAATTTTATATTACATACATTTTACCACAATAAAAAATACTTGAAAATGTTCAAAGCAGCATTATTTATAATAGCCAAAAAGTGGAAATAAACATTCATCATGAATAAAGTGTGATATATCTCTACAGTGAAATGTTACCCATAAAAAGAAGTGCAGTAGTAATACACACTAAAATGTAGACGAACCTTGCAAACATTATGCTAAGTACAAGAAACCAGACACAAAGAGCTAACTTTCACATGATTGCATTTATTAGAAATATCCAAAATAGGAAAAGCCATAGAGACTGAAATTCAATTAGCTGGAAGAGGAATGAATGGTTCCTAATGGGTACTGATTTATCTGGGGAATGATGGAATTGTTTTGGAATTAGATAGTGGCAGTAATGGCACAACTCTTTGAATATACTAAAAATACTGCATTGTATATTCTAAAAGGATGCATTTATGGTATGTGAACTAGATCTCAATTTTTAAAAACCTACATGATGCCATATTTGTTAGGAAACAGCATGCCCCAGTCTCTGCGCACCGTTCCCAGCTCCGTGTCAGAAAATCAAGCGACCGCTCTTCTTACTCTGTACGATAGGGGCAGTAACTGCTTCACCGGCTGTTTGTGTTAAGTGAGGTAACATATGTAATGCATCCAGCACTGTCTGGCACGTACTAAGAACCCAGTAAATTTATTAAGACCTGTTGGGACATCAGCCTTCAACAGCTTCTAATACTGTTCCAGATAGTATTTTCAGATATTTGGAAAAATGGCCCAACTCCTTTAGCCATTTTAACAATACTCTTCATGTTCTGGCTCAAATCTGCCTCTTCGAATTCTTAGGATGTTCCTTTAAAGAATGGGCTTTTTATTCTCTTCCATTTTGCTGTGCAGATTCTTACAGCTCTGAATACCTGAAAGGTGTTTTCTTCCTGTTCCTCTTTGTCTTTCTCTGAATCCCACCTGCTCTCAGAACTCAAGAAGACTTTCTGAAACCATGCATTCCACTTTCTCCTTTATTTCATGGATGGTAATCTCCGCTTTTTGTAGCACCCAGGATTTTCACTGTATCTTTGACCAGTGCACTTTTGGTTGTATTTTTAAAGAATGTATTTTATTGGGTTATATTTTTAAGGTATGTGTGCTGTTATGCTTTACCTGCTCCGTAGCACTTAGCACATTGCTTTGATATAGTGTTCTGAATAAACATTGGCTACTTATGGGTTAAATTAGTGCTACCTCTCAACAAGTACAAGGGCTTAAATGAATGAGTCTCAATCCTGGCTGTACCTTAAGATCCCCCGGGGGCATAAGGCTTCATTTTAGCCCAACAAATCAGAATCTCTGAGCAGAGGCCTCCGCTTCACACACAGGTGATACTGTTACAACCCAGGCTGAGAGCTATTGGATTAAACAGATGAAGGACTAGAAGCCAGTGGGCCCCAAGCCTAATTGATTTTCACAATCAAGATGTGAGGAGCACTGAAGCAGGTAGAGATGCTCTGGGCATTGCAAAGTGCGCTACAAATATTAGACAATGTTATTATGGTGCATTTGGGAGCGTCACTGCTTCGAGAAATATCCCCCAACCTTAATTTTCTTTTTTTGAACAGCCAACGGTGTAGTGGAAATATCCAATTATGGGCATCTTAAACCATTTAAACTCTGCGTAATAGCTTTCATACCAGATGTGCATGCCTTGTTCCTTTTTGCTAACTTAAAAATACTCGCTCTGTATCTTTCCCAGGCTGGCCCACATTCAGCAGCAGACCCTCTCAAGATTGTTTACTTGCCCTTGTTCCTGTTGAGTTACCGCACTTGGAAGCAGGAGATGGGCTCAACAGCAGCCAACAGGCCATGATCCAGGAGGAGCCGTGAGGGACAGAGCTGCTGGTAAGACAGTTGGGGACCATTGGTGCTTGGTTTGCCAGAAGCTTATTTCCAATGTAATGGTCAATGTCTCTTCCAACCTCAACCCTCAGTTACTCTGTACTCTCTCAACTACCTTTATTATCTGTGCTTTGGACACATAGCTTAGATTTTTAAGATCTATGAATTCCCTAAAATTATGTGCTGAGTTTTGTGTAGATACATTTTTGGGGTTTGTTTCTAGAGAAAAGATTTTTCATCAGATTCTTAATATCTGTGAATTTAAAAAGAGAGGTAAGAACATTCAAATACCACGATAAGCATGGAGAAATGTCACACCAAGAACCACTTGTCACAGCATCTCTCCTGGCCATTTTTACCTCACTGTGGCCACTTGGTCCCAGTCTTGTTCAGGACCAAAAGAATTCTATCAGTTGTTATTTGCTGGGCTGAAAAGTGAGCACCTACTGAGGCTAGGCAGTTGGGTTTCATGATAATTTGGCTCCACAGAACTAGTGGAGAACTAAAGTATAGAATGATAGAACTCGGGAAAACCTATGTGATATTTCACATGATTTTTATTTTCCACATGGTTTTTCTAAAAAACACAAATAGAGGCACTGACAGAGAGGAAAACACCAAACACTTTTTATATCATGCTCTTATAGTTGGTCCTAATGAAGTTCAATTTGTTCTGAAGGCCACTGACTCGCTAATGGATGTCCTGGCCTAAGGGTTATTTATCAGATGATTATCACTTATACGGATGAACGGAAGTAGGGAATTGGTGTATTTCTCCCCTCCTCCCCCCCCAAAAAAAATATTTAAGGGGAAGACTACCATGAACTCTACCATATATAATTTTGTCTTTACTATAAGCCAGTTAAAATCATAGGGGACTTGAAGGAAAGAACATAGAAGTTAGAGAAAAGGAAGATTGAGGCTTTTCTTTTTCCTTCTGCAACTCCTTTAGGGGGTAGTTCAGCGTGGGTGTCCCTGAGTTTTGTTTATGCATTCACATAACACATCTTCTAAAAAGCCCGTGTGGCTGTAATCTCTGCTCTCACTCCAGACGCGAAGTATGCGCTCTGCCACTTGATCCTGCTGAGAGACTGACCTGGTGCTGAGAAATCCTTTCCAGGGTGTCCTCAGTTGAACTCCCATGATTCCTGGATGTTGCCATTTTCGAGACATGGGGCAAGTGCCTCTGCCTAGATTACCTCTCTGCCCTGGGAATTCAAGTCACTCTGCAAAGGAAAGAGAACTCAGCACCGTAGTAACTCTCAGAATGAAAATTTCCCCCTTGCATGTTAATGTTTTTAGAGTCATCATTGTCGCTGAAAATAGACTTCCTCTTTCCCCTCTCATGCTGGAAAATCTTAGGCAATTATGAATACAGCGTTCTGAGCGTTTCCCCTCCTCCCCTACTGGGTGCTTTGCCTCTCTCACTGTGAGGACTGTGACTTCTCACTCTGTACTTGACCTTACATGAGAACTGAAAGAGTTTTTTAAAATGGAATTTCTATCTCTTTAGTGAAGTCAAAAGATTGTCACTTCTTGGAGGTGAAGGGTGGGTAAGAAAGTGCAGAAGCTTTGGAAAAAGTGTAAGACAAATTGCTAACAAGATATGAGGTCAGGAAATTAACGTATTGGATGTGTGTAAAAAACATAAAAAGGTTTTATAAGTAAACTCTGAGAGGAGTTCTTCCCTCGTGTCCAAAAAACATCTTATTTTGCCTTTATGCTCTTATAGTTGAATAAGCTCAGTCTAGGACTTATTTTCAGTGACAAATAAGCCTAGGGCTTATCTTTTAGTAACATTAATTAGCTGTATGTCCTTTGGAAAATTATTTAACCTCTTTAGATCTTGTTTTGCTGGACAAATGTGTCATAGTTAATACTAATGGCATCATATAATATTATATGGACAATATGTGGATGGCCTGGCACATAATGAGTTCTTAATTTTATATTACTATAATTATTATTAATTACTATTATTAATGCTGCTTTCAGTTCTTTAATAGGAATTTATTTAAAAAGAATTTTTTGAGTATCTATCAAATACCAGGCACTCTTTAGGAACTAAAATGCATTAATAAGCCAAACAGATCAAAGTTTTTCTCCTTGTTTAGCTTAGAATCTAGAGTGGGACTCAGACATAAACAAGATAAATAAATAAAAGTATACAGTATGTTAAACATCAAGAAGTGCTAAGCATAAAAATTTATAGTGGAAAAAGAAAATTGGGAGCTTGTTGAGGTAGTAGTTGAAGATGGAGTCATCAAGAAAGACTGCACGAGAAGACTATTTTTTTAGTGAAAGTGTGTACAAGGAATACAAACGCAACCATGAAGTTACACGGGAAAAGCACACTGAAGGTAGAAGAGCAAAGCCACCCTGGAGCAGGGAGAGGTTTTCCAGAGGGAGTCAAAGAGAGTCGGGGCAGCTTATGCCACATAATCGTATCCCGCCAATAGTCACCCACGTGGTACAGATAAGAACTTTGGAAGTTCAAGGAATGGTACGACAGTTTGTGTAGACCAGTGGTCGGCAAACTGCGGCTCGGCAAACCGCGGCTCTCGAGCCACACGCGGCTCTTTGGCCCCTTGAGTGTGGCTCTTCCACAAAATACCGACTTCTGTGCATGGGCCATGAAGTTTCAATCCCACTGTATGTGCGCGCCCGCATGTGGTATTTTGTGGAAGGGCCGCACTCAAGGGGCCAAAGAGCCGCATGTGGCTCGCGAGCCACGGTCTGCCGACCACGGGTCTAGACTAAAACAGAGGAGACTTCACACACAAAACGTGGCAGGTCATGGCCTTGATCTTGGACAGAAAGAATGTGGATACTTGGCAAAAGGATAGAAACTTTTAGTTATAAGATGAATAAAGTCTGAGGAGTTAATATGTAACCTGGTGACTATAATAACAGTGTCATATAATTGAAATTTGCTAAGAGAGTAGAACTTAAATGTTCTCACCCCAAATAAGAAAAGTTTAAACGTGGGAGGTGATGAATATTTTTCTTAATAACTTCATGGAGGGATTCTTTCACAATGTACATGTATATCAAATTATTATATTGTACATTATGTATATGTATCTTGCAGCTCTGTCATTTTTACCTCAGTAATGCTGAAAAAAGAAACTGTCAAGGAAAAAGTTCTAATTAAAGTTACTTTTTGTAGACATCACAGTCGCATAGCTCTCACACTCTCTGCCATGAAACAACCAACACACACACACACACACACACACACACGCACAGATGATATGCCAGTAGAGACAGGTGGAGGAGAAACTACATGAGGTGAAGTGAAATTAGGATGTTGGCTTTGAGGGCAGGGGTCTACTAAGCATAGAGAAAGGGCGGGGGCAGAGGCAGGCAATCTTGTGTAGAGTTGGCAAGTAGTGAGAGAAAAGATGGAAAAGCAGGTGAGGCCAAATTTTTTTAAAACCCTAAGGCCAGGCTTAAGATTATTACATACTATGCTACAAATATTGAGGAACAATTGAAGCAGTAAGTAACAAGGTGGTCCAGGTCTTTAACAATATTATTTTGACAAGTGTGGAAGAGCAGGGGGATGGAGGAAGCGGCTAGAGTGATTTAGGGGGTTGAGAACATGGATTATGATAATAATACTGAAAAAGGAAGATGGTTTTGATATCCTTTAAGGAAAAATCATGAGGACTTAATTACTGATTGTACATGGGAGATATAGGAGAAGAGTCAAAGTTTCTCTTCAAGTATTAAAATGACCAATTAAGTGTCAGTGCTAAAAGAAATAGGGAAGTTAGTGAACCCAGAGATGAAACATGACTCCCCTAAGATCATGCCATTAGCTGTTGGCAACACCTGGACTGGCCTCGGGTCTCCATGTTGCGAGCTTCTCTCCTTGCACTCTCCATGCTGACTGTAAAAAGGGTTAGTGATTTTTAAAAAAATACATTTTTATTGATTTCAGAGAGAAAGAGAGAGAGATGAGAGAGAGAGAGAGAAACATCAATGATAGGAGAGAATCATTGATCGGCTGCCTCCTGCACGTCCCCTACTGGGGATCGAGCCCATAACCCGGGCATGTGCCCTGACCGGGAATCGAACCGTGACCTCCTGGTTCATAGGTGGACACTCAACCACTGGGCCCCCCCTGCAGGGCAAAAGGGTTAGTGATTTGTATTTCACCAACTTGCTTATGGAGAATAGAACTGGGAGGTTTGGATGTGCCCATTAGCACTGTGTTTAGCTGTTCTTCTGAAAATGTGGACATTTTTACCCTCTCTCACAAAACAGATCTAACTTGTTTAGAAAGGGTCAAGGAAGTATTGGTAGGACTGGAAGAGGGTCATTACCTGCATACACTTAGATTCTCCTTCCTAGTCATTGTTGATGTTTCCGGATTCAAAATGTCATCTTTCTATCTCTCCAATAGTTTGGAGATGGATTAGTATTTCTATTATTTTACTTTTTTCTGTTTATCTTTCAGAAGAAAAATGGTTTCTGTTTTCTCAAATTTAAATCACTACCTAGATTTAAAAATTAAGACATCAAATGTTGCTTTCTTTTATTTATTGGATTTATTGGGGTGACATCCTATATAAGAAAGAGGTAATATGCAAATTGACCATCATGCCCTCACAAGATGGCTGCCTATGACCAGGCTGGCAGGGGGGTTAGTGAGGGACAACCAAACGACTGAACAAGCAGGCTGCATGGGGCAACCAGGCTGGCAGGGGGGGCAGTTGGGGGCAACCAGGCCAGCAGGGGAGGCAGTTGGGGGCAAGCAG